TTTTCTCTTTCTATTCTGAATTATGATTGACTTATTATATTAGTTTCAGGTGTGCAACATAATGATTCAATTTGTACACATTGCTAAATGATGACCACAATAAGTCTAGTTAACATCCATCACCACACATAGTTGCAAATTTTTTTCTTGTGATGAGAACTTTTAACATTTACTCTCTTAGCAACTTTCTCATATGCAATACAGGTATTACTAACTATAGTCACCATGCTGTACATGGCATCCTCGTGACTTACTAATAACTGGAAGTTTTTTTTAATTTTCTTTTCTTTTTTTTAAGGATGTGCTGGGGATTGAACCCAAGATCTCATGCATGCTAAGCATGCGCTCTGCCACTAAGCTTTACCCACCCACTCCCAGAAGCTTGTACCTTTTGACCACATTTACTCATTTCGCCAACACCCCCACCTCTGGTAACCATCAATCTGTTCTCTGTATCTTTGAGTCTGATTTTTTTATTTTGAGGTTTTTTAAGATACAATGTAAATGGCTAGTCTTTTCTGAATGATCTATATTAGTACCTTATTTAAAAGAAAGTTCCCTCCTAACCTGTGGTTCACCCACCTGCCAGAGGTGGTTATTCTTCGCCCACTCCCACTTGCTCCCACCACTGGCAGGTGGGAACAGACACAAAGGGTGAAGGTACTTGCCTGTTACCATTGACAGGTCCTTGGTGAAGTGAGAAGGGCAGTTCTACACTGTGAGCTTCTCAAGTTCTCACCACCTGTGATGTTTACTAATATCCACTGACTCAATATGAGAATGTTATATATTCACAAAATATAATCCTTTTTCATTTTAGCTATAATGTCACTAGCTGTCCTTTTCAGGGAAAGTGGTTGGTAGAAGGTGGAACATGGTGTCAAGCTAGAAGTCATTTCAGCATCATCCCTGCAAGATATTCTCAGTACCTGGCTTACCTGCTTGACTTGCCAAGGCAACTGAGACCCTGACACTGGTTGTCAAGTGAGGTGGCTAAATTCCCGTCGCCCTCTCATTGCCTTAAAAAGACTATACCCCCAAAGCATATGGAAATGTATTATATGGAAATTTTTTTCAATATGGAGCTTCAGATAGCTCACACGAGTGGCGGAAGTTGTAGAGTTAGAGAGAAGAATGATTTGATCCCTACGGAATTAGCATACAGATGGGAGCACTGGGACCTGATTGGAAGTTGAGTGCTCAAATATTTTAAAATGTTAACCCAGAAGAATAAGTAACTGTCCAAACAAAATGCATGACATAAGATAACTGAAATAAATAGAGGGATGATCTAGCAGAGTGTCAGCAAACAGGTGGAGGCAGATTAGAAGATGGGAGAAGACAGTTAACAAGGAAATTTGCTTAGAAACAGGATGATTCTCTTCACCGTGTCATTCTTTCTCCTGCTGTGGTACTTACGGGGCTGTATTACTCCTAGGAGAAGGTGTTCCAGGACCAGGTCATTGCCCAGAATGATATCCTGCTCCTAGAAAAAAGTAAACTCCTGGAGCAACTCACCGAGCAAGAAGAACTGATCCACAGCAACAAAGGGGTCATATCTTCAGTCCAGAGCAGGTGGGTGCAGGCCCATGATCTCCACAAAGAGGATGTTTCTCCCTCAACAAAGGGATGGTTTCAGAAATGGTCCTTTGAGTTGTGGCCTATCTCATAACTTTTTCTCTGCCATCTGCTGTTTTTAGCAGTTCACATGAGTGGCAGAAGTTGTAGAGTTAGAGAGAAGAATGTCATGGAGAAGGTAGGCTGGCCGTTCACACAGGTGCCTTCACAGCAGCATTGCCTCCTGAGAACCCAGCTCTGCTCATTCCGGCCCCTCCCTTTGTGTGTGTCAACACTTATTTTTATCACTTGACACCTATGGGATCCAGGTAGACTGAGAGAGAATCAAGCAGACAGCCCGGCCCTATGACTTTCTGGTTTTATCTTTTTACACAAGTTACTTCCCCAACTCCAAGCCTCAGTTTCCTCATCTGCAGAATAGGCATCATAACAGTATCTATTTCATGGGGTGGTTGTGAGGATTAAAGTACCTAATACGTGGGAAGTGTTAAGTACTTTCTGTGTGGCTAGGTTGCAGTGCCCACGTACTTGGTAAGTGCTTGTAACCATGGTGAATGGTAGCTGCTGCTCCTACTATTTTTACTTCTACTATATCCCTCCTCCTCCTGCTACTACTACCACCGCCACCGCCACTACTGCAGCAGAAGCGTGGGATGACAGTGTGAAATCAGAACCAGATGCAGGCTGCTCAGCTGCAGCGTTAGGGACACAGAGTCTCTCACTCCAGTCCCTCCCCTAAACGGGATCGAACCTCTCCTCAGGTTTCCCCAGGGCTGGACCTGTGACTTTTGTGTTCCTGCACTCTTGTGTGTCTCTATTCTCAGCATGTATTTAATGACTGTATACCAGCCAGAAGTTCATTAATTTTCACTTGGTCTTGGAACACAGTGGGAATTATTCCGGCAAACTTGGTTCCAAAATCTGGCTGTGGGCTAAGACCCAACGCTAGTGGGAAGTAAGGTAGAATTTTCAGGACTGATACAGAAATTTTTACTTATGCCTCTGATTTATGCCATTCTTAGAGTACTTTTACTGGATAAAGAAAACAAGCAGTTACAGGAGAACAGCCTCCAGCTTGTGCAGCAGGTCGGCCTCTTAGAGCGCATCATAAGGAGCATCCACATCCGCAGAGGAGAGGTAAGAGGCATGTGTGCTCCCTGCCAGGTCCTCAGTATGAAGCTTGGGTTGCTAAGGTCGCTGCCTTCTCTTTTCCCTCATGTTCTGCGTGCAGCTGTGGCCTGCACTTGGCCTCGTGGTGGACTGTGGCAGAGAGGCTCACGGGCTTCACTCTGGGGCAGCAGAGCTTGAGACTGCTCTCTGCCAACTTTGCTCTTCATTGGTTCAGCTTTTGCTAAACACGCTCCTCCTATGTGATCCCAGAGCAGTTCGTGTCTGCTTTCTCACTTCTTCCTTAACACACTGTATTGTCATTGCCTTTTCACTTCTCTGTCTCAGCAGCTCAGCAGTGACATCCCGGAGGGCAAGGGTTGTAGCTCATATGTCACTGTATCCATGGACAGGAGCTCCATAAATATTTGAGGATGAATGAATGTTAAATGTCTCCATGTGGATGCCTTGTTCTCAACTACCCTGTTTGCCTCGTATTGTTCTAGCCGCATCTGAGAGATGAGCCCATCCGAGGCTCACAAAGGTAGAGTGAAGCTAGTCTGGGCTGGCAAGGAGTCAAGTCCAAGGAGAACATCTGAGTCTGAGAAAAGCAATTATGTTACAAAGAGCTAGGCAGACAAGTGGCCAAGTCCAGAAAGATGTGGCCGATAGTCTAAGTTCAGACACGGTCCAGGGTCTGGCTGGCCAGACGGACCTCAGTAAGCAGAGCTGCATTCTGAATCCAGGGTGGAGGCTGCTTGCCTTCCTCCCTGGCTTGTACCACCTGCTAAGGCATTTCTTCCTAGGATCCATCACAGCAGATCCTGCTCGTGGGGTACTGTTGCTCTGAGCATAAGACCTGTATCATGTTTGCTCTCAGGTGCAAATTTTTGAGTTGTTTGAGGATTTTATCAAAAGTAGAACTGCCAGATGATGTGACCTAATTTCCAACAGTTAGAAATGTCTTTGTTTGAGCTATAACTGTTTTTTATTGTCTGTTTGTTTACCCTTTTACTTAATCATTCATTCAACAAACTATTAATTCCAAGAACTGTACTGGGTCCTAGGAATATGGAAGATAGTTCCTGTTTTCAGAGGCCTTCAGTCCAGTAAAGAAGGACTGGCATGTACTTGAATAAATAGTATAGTACTGTAGGTGCTGAGTTACTGGCCTTAATGGAATATATTTAGAACCAGTAGCTTTGAGATCCACAATATTATCATCAAATCAAGATAAGAAGTGTCACATGGGTCAGAACTCAGTATTCATGTGTGACAAAGGTACCGAGTTGTAACATCTTGACACCTATTGGAATAAACATCTCCAAACTTGTTTTTAAACTTAGAATCTCTTTTTAAATTTTCAATAGACTTTATTCTTTTAGAGTAATTTCAGGTTCATAACAGAATTAAGCAGAAAATACAGAGTTTGCAACATAGCCCTCCCCACCCACACATAGATACTCCCCTACCCCAAACATCCCTCATCAGTGTGGCATATTATGTGTGGCATACAATCGATGAACCAACACGGGCACATTATTATCAACCAAAGTCCATAGTTTACATTCGGGTTCACTCTTGATACTGTACATTCTATGGGTTTTGACAAATGGGTAATGACATGTAGCCACCACTATAGTATCATACAGAAAATTTCATTGCCGTAAAAACCCCTTGTGCTCCATCTATTCATTTCTCCCTTCCTCCGTCTCCCCAAACCCCTGGAAACCATGATCTTTTTATTGTTTCTATAGCTGTGCCTTTTCCAAAATGTCATTTAGTTGGAATTATACAGTTTGTAGCCTTTTCAGACTGGCTTCTTTCATTTAGTAATATGTCTTTTAAGTTTCTTCCATGTCTTTCATGGCTTGATAGATCATTTTTTTTAACCACACATATAGTTTTGAATTTACATATGTGTACTGTTCATTGTTTCTAAGAATGTTTAGAACTTTAGCTTTTTTAACTTACATAGTTATCAAAGGAATAAAGCCAACCACAAAATAAGAATTAATTCAAAAAGATACATACACCCTGCTATTAACAGCACATTATTTACAATTGCCAAAATATGGAAGCATCCTAAGTGCACAACAATAGTTGAATAGATAATGAAGATGCAGTGTGTGTATATATATATATGTAATGGAATACCACTCACCCATAAAAAAGAAGGCTATTTTGCCATTTGTGGCCCTTCATTCACTTTCTTTTTTTTTCACTTCAAAAACCAGAGTTTTATAACTGGCAGAGACATTTCCATTACATCAAAAACAACAAAATACCTTGAAATAAACTTAACCAAGGAGGTTACCTATACTCTGCAAACTGAAATGACACAAAGAAATTGAAAGATTTTTTTTGTGCTCTTGGATTGGAAGAATCAACACTATCAAAATGGCCACACTTCCCAAAGCAATCCACAGATCCAACGTAACCTGCATCAGAATGCTCATGACATTCCTCACAGAACTAGAACAAACAATTCCAAAATTTATAAGGAACCACAGAAGACCCCGAACAGCCAAAGCAATCTTTTGTAGGTCTCTCTTTTTTTTTCCTCTTCTTTTTGTTCTCTTTTCTTATGGGTTGATGACTAGAGAAGGTTCTTTAAAATTTGTTGTAAAGCTGGTTTGGTGGTGCTGAAATCTTTTAGCTTTTGTTTATCTGTGAAACTTTTGATTTCTCCATAGAGTCTGAATGAAAGCCTTGCTGGACAGAGTATTCTTGGTTGTAAGTTTCCCCCTTGCATCACTGTAAATATATCATGCCACTCCCTTCTGGCCTGTAGAGTTTCTGCTGAAAAATCAGCTGATAACCTTATGGGAGTTCCCTTGTATGTCATTTGTTGCTTTTCTCTTGCTAATTTTAATATTTTCTCCTTATGCTTAATTGTTGTCAGTTTGATGACTATGTGCCTTGGTGTGTTCCTGTTTGGGTTGATCCTGTGTGGAACTCTCTACGCTTCCAGGACTTGGATGACTGTTTTCCTTTCCCAGGCTGGGGAAGTTTTCGGTTATTGTCTCTCCAAAATTTTCTTAGGTCCTTTCTCTCTCTCTTCTCTTTCTGGGACCCCTATAATGAGAATATTAGAACACTTAAACTTAGAAATCTTAAGGATCCTTCAATTCAGTCCTCTCATTTTACGCAGGAAGGAGATAAAACCCAGAGAAGTTAAACGATATGTCTGGGGGCACATGGCTACTGCTGACATTTCCCAGATCTCTTGATCCTCAGTGATTATCACATGTGCAAATATATCAGCATATAGATCCCTGAGATCAGACATGTCCTAGGTCCCTTCCTTCCCTGGGGCCAAAATGGTGACAGCTTGATACTTGTTGGGTGCTTACTATGTGCCTGGGACCGTGCTAAGCATTTTATGTATATTATCACATGCAATCCACAAAACAATCTTATGTGACAAGTCTGTCATTCCCATTTTCACAATTGGAGACACTGAGATCTGGAGAGGTGAAGTGACGTCATTACCCAAGGTCACATAGCTGATAAATAGAAAAATAAGGACTGAATCCAGCTCTCTCTGGTCCCTGCTCTTAGCCACTATCTCATAATAACCCATGCCTACTTCTTCCCTTTCTGGGGCACTAGAGTGATCAGGGACATAGCCTTGTAATAGACCATATTGCTACCTGTATTGTAATTCCATCTTTCTTCTCAATTGGATTATAAACTCCAAGAGAGTAGGAACTCTGTCCATCTTGTCACCCCCCTATACCCCAGATACTTAGCACTTAGGTTACGGCAACAACTCCTTAACTCATCTCCTTTCAATCTTTCCTCCTCTTCTAATCTGTCCTGCCGAGGCCACTAGACTCATCATCATACACTGATTGCATAGTACTTCAGATCAAGAGTTTCAGAGACTGCCTCTGCCTATAAGATGAAGTTTTTCATTCAGCAAATATTTATGGACCATAGTGTGCCATATGGTTTATATATGATCATGAGCAAGCGTATCTGCTCTCTGAAGAAGTCAGGCCCAGTGACAGTGACAGTCCTCTAACTGGCAACTGCCATGTGTTGTGACAAGTTCTGTAACAGCACAGGCCCAGAATGCTGAGGAAAGCAGGGGAGTGGTGTCGAAACCTGTCTATGGTGGCTCGGGAAGGCTTCCAGAGTTGCTGATGTCTAAAGCAGAAGAACTGAAGCCACGGAAGAACTTTCCACATTCCAAATACCTTTCTGACAAACATGATCGAATGAAACTAGTCTATTCTCTGTTTCTCCAGATCTCGGACGTTTCCTCCTCTGTATCATATATTTCCCTTGCTTGGAAAGACACACCTCATCTCCCCTCTTCCATCTTCCCAGCTTTTGTCTTTTGAAGTTGTATGGTTCTCAGAGTCTATAGCCAGAGGGGTCTTTAGAAAGTGTATCTAGTCTGAGTAGATGACTCAAAACCGTGCAAGGACTTCCCACAGCCTTCAAGATAAAAGCCACATTTTCTGATACGCTCTCTGTATTCTCTATGATCAGTCCCCTGGTCTGTGTTGGTTTACACTTTTCTGAGAAAGAATATTTGGTTTTTAAAGTCTTGGGGCTCAAAACAGGTACTTTTTTTTGTGATTTAAGAGGGTAAAAAATGTTTACCAGAGTATTAAGTAAAAGCTTACTGAAGTAAATAGAATGGAATAATTATATCAGCTAATACGAGGTAATTCATATAGAAAACTTGATATAAGAAGCAGGCTAGCAGTGAAAAGCATTAATATAAAAATATGGCATTTATTTTTTTAAATAATTTCATTTGTTGAAGTAACACTGGTTTACAACATTATGTAAGTTTCATGTGTATAACGTTATATCTCAACTTCTGTATACACCACAGCGTGCTTACCACCAAAAGTTTAGTTTCCATCCATCATACAGTAGAACCCTTTTACCCATTTCACCCTCCCCCACTTTCCCCTCTCGTAACCACTACTCTGTTCTCTGTGTCTATGTGTTTGTTCTTGTTTGGTTTGATTTGTTCTTTTATTATTATTATTATTATTATTATTATTATTCCACATATGAGTTAAGTCATGTGGTATTTAGCTTTCTCTGACTTATTTCATTTGGCATAATACCCTTAAGGTCCACCTAGGTTGTCACAATTTCATCTTTTTATATCTATCTATCTATCTATCTATCTTACATCATCTTTACCCATTCATCCATTGATGGGCACTTAGGTTGTTTCTGTATTTTGGCTATTGTAAATAATGCCATAAGGGTGCATATATCTTTTCAAATTATTGTTTTCATCTTCTTCAGGTAAATACCCAGTGGTGGGAATAGCTGGATCAAGTAGTAGTTCTTTTGAGTTAACACTGTTTTCCATAATGACTGCACCAGTTACGTTCCCACCAACAGTGCACAAGGGTTCCCTTTTCTCCACATCTTCTCCAGTATTTATGATCTCTTGTCTCTTTGATTATAGCTATTTGAACAGGTATGAGGTGAGGGGATTACCTGTTTTAACCAAAAATCTACATAAAGCATAAGTTCTAGGATCGTATCATCAACAGTTTATCACTGTACTTTTTTTAATATTCACCTTTCCTTTTCTTTTAGGAAACAACAATTAGTGACATTCCTGGATCTGAAGCATTGAATAAAATCGTGCCCTTACCAAACTCTAGGTTAGTAAAATGAAGACAGTTATCTGCATACCTGAAAGTCATGGCTGCCTAACTAGTTCTTGTTGCTGGCTTGAGAAAGCATAGCATTTTGGGGTAATTTTCTCTATGTTTAGTTTTTGAATCTTCTTCTAATTCCTTCTTCCCTCAGCTCTGCCTCACCCCACACTTGATAGAATCCTGACTTAAGGTAGAAAACAAACAATCCATGAATATACTTTTGAGGTTAATTTTATTTGGTTTTCTTTGTGTTTGACTGTTGTAAAACTTGAAATACTATTGATACCTCAACGCTGTAACCTCAAAGTACTGCCAAGAGATCCTGTCTCCACAAAGTCCTCACATGTGGCCT